CACACTCAGACCACGAAAACACTGGCGTCACCTACCAACCGTATGCCTAGTAGTAGTAGTAGTAGTAATAGTAGTAGTAGTAGTAGTAGTAGTATAGTAGTATAGTAGTAGTAGTAGTAGTAGTAGTAGTAGTAGTAGTAGGAGAAGCACCCACCAGAGGGATGGAGGGGGCGAGGGGAGGGGGGGCAAGGAGAAAAAAACAAAAGGTGGGTAATTTTCCTGAAGCGTGAAAGTGGTGCCGGGCACCCCCCCCCGGCACAGGAGCGTCGTGCGCGGGATTTTGGTGTGGGAGGAGGGAAAATGGGAGGTTAACACCTCCCAACGCATCCGAAGACCCATCCAACACGCCGCCAGGGTCGGCGGATATGCCCGACAGGAACGCAGCGACCCCTACAGCTTAAAAGCGCTTGAAGTCAAATTTTGAATGCCTGGCCGCGGTCGTCAACAGAAAGAACTTTGGAGCTAGAGAAGTGGGTTTGTATTCGGTGTATGTCCATGAGATTCAGAAACCGACGAATGTCTCAGCATGTCTCAGCAAGGTGCTGCTGACGGTAATTCCATGTGCCTGAATCCGAGAGTTCACGAGCATCTCGTCAAACCACCGGCTTTCCGGCGTTTTGCGCCCATTTTCCAGATGGCCCGCCGCGGCGCGGAGAACGAGACTACAGAGCCATTCAGGATCTTGTGCGCGGGCAAGAATTCAGAATAAATGCATTGCGTTTCTCCTGCCCCAGGACAGAGCCATCCACGGAGCCATCCGCAGAGCCGCGGACGGAAGAAGATCAGGACGGGATGTGAGCTGCAAAGACCTTTGCTAGACCTGCGACTGCTCGCAAGTGAGGAGCAGCCTCGGGAGGCACGTACAGTGTCCACACCGTCAGGGCTGTGCCCCGACGTACCAAGGCGGGTCAAAAAAGGAGGAACTCGCGTCGCTCATCGTAGATCCTCGGGGCGGTCATGGCAGGTACGATCCGGAGTCTGGCCGGTGACACCGCCTCCGAGGTTTGCCGTGATGCTTAGCTGTCCCCAAAGAAGGGAAAGCGGATTCCAACGTTCGCCTATGCGAAAAGCAGGGCAACGAGTCAAGACTTGACTGGCCCTTGGCGTGCTGCAGATCAAGTCACGACAGAGGAAGCCGCAAGTTCCGAAGCAGAGCCCTTTGGCTTCATGTGGAGCCGTCGCATACCATGGAGTGGCGGGCATCTAGGTGCAGTGCCAGAATTTCATGCTGTTTTTTCATACAATGGCTGACCGCATGGTAGCAGATGCAAAGAGCAGCTTCAGGATCCATCATATGGTTTGGGGTAGGGCTGAGCCATGGCGCTGACGGAGACCATGGGACACGTGGGACTTCGTGACATTTACTCGAGAATACCGGGACGACGTCCTGAGCCGGGAGAGGATTTCGAGGATTTGCTCTTGCCCAGCCGCGTCGAGAGTTCACCCGAGCGGAGAGTACCTGGCATCGCCAGCCCGGTCTACTCGCGCGGCTCCGAAACCGAGACGGGCGACGGCCTGCGGAGGGCCTCCTCCGAGACTTTCATCTCCTCGCTCAGCTCGCCTGGCTCACCGAATAGGCTCACATACTTGGGTGCTTGCATCTTTCATTGCCCGAACCTCCGAAGTTTCTAGCAGGTGCAAGCAGGGGGGCTTTGCAAAGTTGCACCTGTGCCGGAGCCTTGGAGCCTTGGAGCCTCCACTCCGGTGCCTTTCGGAGTTTGAAAAGCCGTCCCTGCCATGCAGGCCACCCAGACCGCTTCGGCCGCAATGCTGAGAAGGAGGTGCCTTCCCACAGGACCTGGCATCCGCCTTCGGAGAATCGGCTTCGGGGCTTTGCTGAGGTGCCGGACTCCCCCTCTGCACAGGCCAGGCGGCCCCCGGCAAAAAAAAGAGGGCGCATACGTTGTCGTGACAAAACCTCAGTCACCAGGCCCTCGCGGCGATGGTGGAGCGCCTCCACGACGAGGCCCCTCTTCTGCCCCTGCTCCGCCTGCTCCGTGTTTCGGCATCTCTCAGCTCTTCTCTGCCCAGGAGCTCAGGAAGCGAGAGGCCCTCTGCCTTTGCGTGGTCTCTTGCCCCAAAACCCGTTTTGGAGCCACACCCGAGAACTTTGGTGCTTCCCCTCAATGTCTCAGTCCAAGCCGCGACCTTTGGACACTCCTTGGAACTATTGTCTGTCCGCAAGCATCTGGATCGAAACGGACCTCACTAATCGGAGTGGCTTGTGTGACAGTGCAACTCCGCCAAAGGAAGCCATCGAAGCGACCGGGTATGCTTTAAAGATACATTACACATGATTGGAACTAGAGCTGCCATCAGGAGCGCAAAGCTGCGCGGACCTTTGAAAGAGAGCAGGACGACACCTGCACTCATCGAGCTTTTGGGCTTGTGGTTCAAAGGATCTGCCAGGAGACAGGAAAGGCTTTGAAGTGAAAATGACCTGTAGGAGTTCTGTCGGCAAGCACCATTTGTCCCGTCCTTGGTTTCGGAAACAACAGTTTGTGTGATTTTCACAGGGCTTCGCGTGTAGTACTACATACATGTTCTGATGCACATAAGTATGAGCGACACGAGTGGACTTGGAGGCTCCGACCTTGTCCAGAGCCAGTCGATGCCTTCATCTCAGCTTAGCCGGACTTCTGTTCAGTTTCAGTCCAATGGGACAGAATGGCAGGCGCCTCGGAACCAAGAGAGCGGCATCTGGCCCTCTACGACCAGCGCTTGGAGATGGCCCCGGGAAAAGGGATGCAAAGCATTGTAAGAACGCCGCGACGGTGTGCCCTTGCCGCCCGGGCACTGGCGGCCCTGACGCAGGCCCAGCGGCGGCGTCAGCGGCAGGAGCAGAAGCTCCGCGAGGAGCAAGGGACCCCCAGAAGAAAACCCTGCGAAGGGGGCTCTCTGCATACGACTGTGACTACGGCTGTCTCGCAAGATGCTCTGATGTGCCCAGGCGAGACTACCGCGAGGCAAACAGTGTGCATCGGGCCAGATCTCCTCAGGCCACCGACGCTAGCCTGCTTGAGGTTGCAGGGAAGCTGTGAGCAGAGTATGGATAGGTCAACCCGACGGTTTACCAGCGTTCGCGTCTCAGATGAAAGGTCGCGCTTCACCGCTTCAGGTAGAACCAAAGGCTTTAATGTCAGGACATCCATGGAGCTTGCTTCTACTTGCACAGGAGTCTTCCAGAAGCCAGGTTTACAAGGTGTTCCCTGTCCATGGGAGATAGATCCTGCTAGGTTGCCAGGCTTCACACAAAATCTGGAGACTTAGAGTGATCCCATCGGCGTCCTTCTGCCGCTGCCGAGGATTGCATGAGGATGCAGAGTTGAAGAGAAGGCCTCCGACTGGCTCAATGACTGGAGCATTTTCATACAGGCACCCAGCTCTGTGGTGGTCAGGCAACGGCGGAATGATATGGAGGACAAGGTTCGCAATCACCTCGCAATCCTGCATGACTGTGGCCTCTGTTATTTTCGATTTAGTGGCAGTTTCCGGGTTGACAGTTGGCTCTGAATCAGATTCCTATTGCTCAGTCCACGACCTGTGATTCGGTACCACTCCGGTGTAACAAGAAGCCAGAGAATTACCACGTCCAGGGTCGGAGGGGTCGCCGAGACGCTTCGTAAGCTCCTTGCACTGGAACAAACAGAACAAAACCGCAGAATCCGCAGTCGAAATCCCTTGGCAGCTGTCTCTTCGTCACTGGGCTCTGCCCTTCAGGATCCTCCTGCACGGGGCAAGTTCCTCAGATTGCTTGTCTTGGGACTCCACACGCTGTTCGCTGTCAGTTTTGGATTGGACCCGTGACAGTCTTGGTGGATTTGGGGCATGGTTCCATGGTTGGTTATTGGGCAAGGCTTTGATTGTTTGTACTCGCAGCTGTTGGCACTTGTTCTCAAGATTTCGAAAGATTCTGTAAGCTTCACCAGCATCCGCCATGCTCTGGCAATTTTGTGCTTGATGTCGTATGCAATACGCTCAACAGTTTCATGGATTATCCTGCAGTATGGGGAAATCTGTGAAACACTTCAATTGCCGGAACATCGAATCATTGCCGAATCTTATCAGCGACAACGTTCTGAATGAGTCTGTATGCCGACAAACTTTGTCAGTGTGTGTTTTGTCGTTTTGGATTGTTTGTGCCAGCTATTGCTAGCTGTTACCAGGCCTAATGGGTCGGTTTTTGTGCCTGCACTTCCATCAAATACCGGCTCCGACAGGGGGCTTGCATAACCCCGTTGTTGTGAATTATGCCCGCGTTGATTTCAGCTGCCAGTTCCATGAATATTACAACTTCAACCTGCTTAAACTTACTGTACTCATTGCAGGGCTTTGAAGCACTCCGTTCAGTCATTTCCTGAGCCCGAGGCGTTACGAGTGACAGGCAGCTGAAACTGTATGAGCAAGCCGTGGAGGCAGTGCCGAGCTTAATGTCGGAGGATTAGGCCGTTGCATGAGCGCCCTAAGTTAAATGAATTCGTGCCGCATCTCCTTCCTAGGGCGAGATCATGAGATGATGCAAACACCATGAAGCAGCTGAGCATCGTCATCTTCTGTGACGAGTCACAGTCATGCAAGGCCGAGAAGAGGCGTGCCATGCAGCAAGAGAAGCTGGAGCAGGAGTGGAAGCCTCAGGAAGGGCAGGAATTCTGGGGAAGCCTTTCAGAATCTGCTTCTTGAGGCAGAGGTACCTGGAATCGCATAGCGTCCATCGTGCCAGATCTCCTCAGGCCATATGGGTTCACACATTGCGTCACACGGCTCTCGTCAAGCACATGCGCTGTCAGAGCGTGTTCTGTCGCCGGTCACTGACTTTCTTCCGTCAACCGTGGCACCGTGCAGTTCAGGATTGGATTACCTGTTTGCTGCTGCGCAAGGTCTCTAGACAGATGCCATGTTACTTGAATCATCATGTCCAATGTCTTGAATTTCAATACAACTCACAAAGGCCAGCGGCTAGTGTCCCAAGTCCTAGGCCTGCAATCTAAACAGCGGCAAACGACAGAAGCCCAAACCAGCCTACCTTCCATTCAAGCCTGCAGCAAATCGTAGAGATCCGAGCCCTGAAGACTTCTCAGAGTCTGGGAGTGAAGGCAGACATTGGGGTCATCTCTCAGCGTCCTGCGCTCAGTCTTGCAAGAGGGTCCGGAGGTTCTTTGCGGTAAAGCTGAGGCCTGTACGAGGACGCAAAGCTGAAGAAGCGGCGCACTGAGAATTTTTTGCGCGCTAGCGGGGCTTTCATTCAAGCAGGACCACTACGACTTGATGTCACGGAGAATGCGGGGTGCGGGTTGGGCACTCTCGCCGAGGCTGCGACGACGGGAGCTTCAGCGAGAGCAGGCCGGGCCGGCGTTTTTCGGCTGTTTGCTGTGGAAGTTTGCCACACGGATGCTGCAGAGGAACTCAAGGACGTGTCAGATCTGGTGCTTGGCCGCAGTTGTTTCATCCTTTTGGCATGGGCCGTCCCTCGACTTTCAAGGCCGGCACTCGCAAGAAGCCTTCGCGAAAGGCCCCCCGAAGCCCTTTTGACATCTTGCTCAAATTCCCTCTACTTCTTCGTCTCGGTTCCTCGAGGACGAGGCAGCGCTTGTGGAGCGGCTCTTCCGCCCGGAGCGGCGCCAGCGCCAGGCGCACCTGCGCGAGGAGCGGAGCCGCGCCCCGTCCTGCAGCGGCGTGTCGCGCCGTTGCTTGTTTTGCTATTCTTTTGCTCTTCAGTTATCACTTCCGTTATGTTTAGTGTCTCTCTGCGGTGCGTGCGAGGACGAGGAAGAGTGGCTGCAGCAACGCAGGCGAGATGGCAGTGGCTCATGCGAGTGAATAACTGAGCAGACAGTTGACACCTGCTGGCGGGCGCCAGCTGGAGCAACAGTGTCAATGATGAGCACTCTATCAGAAATCAGGTCCAACTTCGAATAGAAGATCGCAGTCACTCTGATAATGCGACCTTGGCACAGGAGGTTCTCCCTGCCACAGCGGGCAGTGTCCTTTCAAGCAAGCCACGCCTTGTGCTTTGTGTTTGGTTTGCTCTGGCATTCAATGCAAGACTTGATGTTGCCAGGGACGCTTTCACTCGCCTCCCAGCACGCCTTCAGAGACACCGAAGGCAACTGCAGCGCTGTGCCGACATGCTTGTGGAGGGGTGTGTTTCCTTTTCCGCGGAAGGCTAGCTCGGAGGTCGCACCGCCGGTGCGCCCACGTTTGGAGGTGACCGCTTCAAGAGGCTTCTCGATTGTTTCGCGAAAAGGCAAGTCCTAGTTCGTCGCCCACCACGCAATCTGTGGGGCCCCTTTGGGGAGCTTTGCGGGATCCTCCAGGAGGTTTGGAGGCCAGGCTGAGGCCTTCGGACACCTTTGCAGCAACGCTTCGTAACGTGGGTATCAGGACGTGCCCGGAGAGAAGTTGCCCGAGGGCTTTGGCATCATCCTCGAGGGCCAGGCAAGGCAGTCCCTTGACCGCAACAGTGTTTTGGCAATATGCCTGTCGAAAAAGGTTAACGAGGCAGCTGCCGTGGCTGCAGAACATCCCTCCGCAAACGTGGAGAAGGTGCGACTCTGGCCGGCTTGTCGATGCTGGTCGCCTTGGCTCAAGACCTGCTCGAGCCGACAGGAATCCAGCCATTCCAGCCGGCCTGCTTCGGCGTCAAGTGCCGTCGCTCTTGAGCCTCAGGAGCGACGGCTCCTACATTCTGTAGCCGAAGGCGGTCGCAGCATGAAGCTGAATTTTCTGAATCCATGCTCCGCAGCCTTCATCCTCTGTCGCTAGCTGCTGGTGGTCCTGGAGCTAGAGTATGTGGCTGTGGAAAGAGAGGTGACCTTTCAAGCCCCTGCCATGAGCCATAGGAGCTTCCCCAAACGGGGCCTCCGGATCCGGCCTCCGCCTCCGAGAAGCGACGCTTGTCACTTGAGCTGGAGGAATGCTTCTGAGCGGACGGTGTTTGCTCTGTGCGCGCTCTGCTCTTAGATGCTCTTTGCGCCCAGAAAAGGTGCTCTGCTCTGCCTTGTGCAACACTAGGCACGTGAGCCGAAGCCGCTTCTTGACCCAGCCGGGCTCAGCCCTTGAAAATCTGGCCAAGCTGTCTCTGCCAGTGTACAGGCTCGAGCTTTCCAGTGCGTTTCATCCATGATTTTGGTGATGGTAATGTAAGATGTGTCAAGATCGTCAGTGTCTGTCTCTGCAGAAACTACATCGAACATCACATTGACATCCGCGTTCTTGATGCTGTACGGGCAGCGGCCTTTCTCAGAGCGATGGTGCTGCAGGAGTGTTATGCACTAGGGCCTGGGCCTCATCGGCCTTCTCCGTGACCGGATTGGCCTTCGTTGCATTTCCTTATGCAGGCATGGATCAGCTCGGGAAGGTGAGCTGCAAACGCTCCTTGGCTACAGTGAGACCTTGCCGCCGCTTTGTGGTTCCGGCTGTTTAGGTCCTAGTGATTGAAGAAGGCTGAGTGGGCCTGAGGGGGAGTCCAGATGTGCGAGCTGACGTATGCGCTGGCAGGCTGCCATGGCTGACGTCGACGAGCTGGCACGTCCTAAGGAACAGAGTGCGAGGGAAGCTTGACAGTCGTTCCTTCGTGCCTGTGACATTGATGCAACGACGCAGGACAGCCAGAAGATCGTCCAAAGAAATGCAGCCATGTCAGCGTATGAGCAGGAGAGCTTGACAGATGACCCTCCTTGTGACCGGGGTTCAATCCTCCTTGTTCGAAGGAGGATGCAGACGCACCCCAAGGCTTTGTCCGCAAGTATCGAGCACAAGGAATTGAATGTCAGAGTTCACGAGTCAGTGAATCTCGAGGTGCAAGCGTCACGTTGAACTCCGTGAAGCTTCCCCAGGACGGGTTGATCATGGCCCGGTAGAACTACAGGCAATTCATTGAATTGCACATGCCGTCGCTGAAGCCACAAGACGAGAGTGACAGAGGGCAGGGAGAATCGAGTATTAGACATTAGTCATGTGGCAGCACGACCAACAAAGCATTCTAATTCGCGACAGTCTATCTCACGAGAGTATGTGTGCTGCAAAAATCCAAGAGTATGTGTTGTCAACGAATGTAGTCAGGTTGCTTTTGTATTTGAGGAAGGGTGTAGGCACCACGAGAGCACCGTCACGCAACATTGTGAATAGTCTAACACATCTAACTTTTGAAGAAGACAGTTGTAGTATCTGGAACACGATACTGTAACGAATGCAGTGGCTGAGGCAAATATTATCAACTATCAATGAGTTCTCATGGACACTGTGGCAACCAACTCGCAATGTTGAAGCACAAGGATGTATGCAAGAGGGGATAGAGCAGTTCAACGTACCGTAGTTTTGCAGCATTCCGACAACAGGCTAGTGAATCGCACTCTTGATGGGAGTCATGTTTGAGAGTGCGGCCTTTCGCTTTTGATCGTGAGCATAATATGCATCCTGCCTGCAGGAAGCCATGCCTGTGACGAAGACAAGTTCCCAAGGCAGAAACCTTCATGACAACGAGTTCGTGGGTGGATTCGGACATCCGTCTTTGTGGGGGTCGCCGCCGGGCATGTCTTGCAACGGCTTCGGCCTCGGCGGTTTGGGCGATCTGCTGGCTTCCTTGCCTAGATCAGCTCTCCGTGTATCTGGAGGTGGCCCGCGAGAGGGGCGGAAGCCCTGGTCCTTCAAGAGAAGCGGCAGTGAACGCATGGAGGCAGGAGGTCGATTGGATCCGCTGTCACGGCGACTCTCTCCATTTTCCATGTATTCAACAGTTTTTGGCTCAGCTATTGATGCATCAGCCCGGCTTCCACCTGAAACCCCAGAGGGGCCCGAAGCCTGTTGAAGCCCCTTTCAGAGAGGTCTCCCCAAACCCCAAGCACTCATGTCACTTGCGAACCTCTTGAACTCGTGACGGTGGAGGGCGCTGCGTATGTTCGTTCCGGCAGGTGTCAGCCACAAGCCCAAGCAGCCCAAGCAGCCCAAGCAGCCCAGCGAGTGCAGCGAGCCCAGCGAGCCCAAGTACCACAGAGCAGGGACGAGGCGACCTGCACTAGTCGCGACCTCCACTAGCCGCATACCGCTTCCGAGACGTTGCATGTCCAGGGGCATTCAGACGGCGGCTGCCTTGGCAGCGCAAAGCGGATCAAAGCGACAAGGTGCCGGAATCGCAGGTGCAGCCGGTCCGTCTGAAGCATCTTATCCGACGAGGATCCAGCCGATGCGGAAGGAAAGTCAGCCACAGCAGGGGCAAGCTCTCCATTGAAGCAGGCACTCAGCTCGTGGTTTGTTTCTTTGTTGCACTCACGAATGGCACACGGACATGGTGTGTTGTCTTGTTGAGTGCTTCCCTTACGCCAGCGACGAGGACCTAGCCGATGCAGAAGCATCACCTACGGCAGCTAGGGAAGCTTCTGCATTCAAGGAGGGGCATGAATGGCTCCTGCTGTGTGTCTCCCCAGTCGCTGCCGCGAGGAGCCAGCCGATGCGACTGCGACTGCCACGGCAACCTCTTCCTTGAAGCAGGCACTGGGCTATAAGCTGTTCCCAACTGTAAGTAGCAGAGGTCTTGATGCGCGAAATAGCGTCCCTGCGACGAGGACCCAGCCGATNNTCCGACAGTCAGGGAAGCTTCTGCATTCAAGGAGGGGCATGAATGGCTCCTGCTGTGTGTCTCCCCAGTCGCTGCCCCGAGGAGCCAGCCGATGCGACTGCGACTGCCACGGCAACCTCTCCCTTGAAGCAGGCACTGGGCTATAAGCTGTTCTCAACTGTAAGTAGCACAGGTCTTGATGCGCGAAATGGTGTCCCTGCGACGAGGACCCAGCCGATGCAGAAGCATCACCTCCGACAGTCAGGGAAGCTTCTGCATACAAGGAGGGGCATGAATGGCTCCTGCTGTGTGTCTCCCCAGTCG